GATAGATCTATATTGGTAGATAGATAGGTAGGTAGACAGAAAGATGGGCAGGTAGGTAGGTAGGTAGGTAGGCAAAAAGGCAGGCAGACAGACAGACAGAACTTTTGGATGTATGGATGGGTGGGTGGGTGGATGGATGGACAGACAGACAGAAAGAATGCGACTGCGACGGCACTTTGGGAAAGTAGAGCAAAGCCAGAGTGGGAATTGAAGTCCACACAAGCTGCCAAGGTTGAGAAACATGGGCTGAATATATCAACCCAGCCATTCTGGTTTAGAGTTTAGCATGCTGTTTGATTCCGGCTTAGTCAATAAACCATGGCTAAGATCTTCCTGCTCCTTAATGCAGTTGCCCCTCTGCCCCTTCTCCAACCCCCTGCCGCAGTTCTTTCTTTGCCATCCAATTTTGCAATGCCAACCTCCCCGGGAGACTCCCAACTTCGGGGAAGCGTTCCGCCCATCTTTACACTCCGCCCAGGAGGAGGAAGGCATCTGGAAGCAGCCCAGACTGGTGGAGAGAACGATTGCTTGGAAACTAAGCAAGCAAGCAAGTGCAGGGCTCGGTCGGAAGAACCGGGCTTCAGAGGGAGGCTAGGTTCTAGATCCGGGACGGCCATGTAGAGCTGAACTGAACCGAGCCACGCACCTTGGAGAGCCACAGCTGCACTCACCCGCATCCTGCATGCAAGTCCAGCTGGCTGGAGAGGCAGAGGTTGGGCAGGAGCTGCGCGCTCCCTTGTTCTCCTCTGGGGAAGGGGACCCTAACGCCGGACCACCCACCCCTTCCACTGCACACCTTGGGAGAGTTTTGCTTTCAGGCCTTCTGGCATGCCTCTGCTGCTTCCACCGGAGAGGGCAACCTGCAAGCTAAGGCGCCCTCTTTCTGCCACCTCCCACCTCTCTCCCCCCCCAGGCCTGGCAAGGCGTGCAGGATCTGCATTCGAGGCGCCGGCTATGAAACAGTCAATAGGCTGCATAGCCAGCAGTCAGTGAGCCTGCGGGGCTGATGCCTCGAATGCGTCCTTGCTGCCTCTTAGCGCCCCCCTGCTGGCCTCCTTGCCTCTTAGTACCCCCCTAAGGCATCCCACCGTCCCCCAGGTACCACCCACTTTGGGAACCACTGCTCTAAAAGGAAGAAGGTGGGTGGGCATGGGTGGGGCCATCCAATTCAAATTGTCCCTACCACCTCTCCCGAGGTGGTGCGAAGTAGTTGAATTTCACCCCTGAACAAAACCCAGGTAGTGTCAGGATTCCGGCAGTTACCCCAACTAAATCATGAGTCTCGAGCCAAACTTCCAAAACGATTTATTGGGAGTTAACATGTCCGGCAGTTGCCAGTTAGACCATTTTATAGCAGTGTACTTGTAATTAAATTTTTTTTAGTTACCACATGTTCACATCAGTTTAAAAGATCTGATGTTCTCAAAGGCAAGCAAAAATTAGATTCATATTATTTGAACTGCTGAGTGAGTTTAAATCCAAAATGAGCCTATGTGATAAATCAAAGAAGAGGGATCTTACTCAGATAAGTAGGCTAGACAAGGTAATATATGGCATGCTAAACTACAGGTACTCCTCAACTTATGATCATAATTGAAACCCAAATTTCCATTCCTAAGTGAGACAGTTGTTAAATGAGTTTTGCCCCGTTTAATAACCTTTCTTGCCACAGTCGCTTTATAAATCACTGCAGTTGTTAAGTTAGGGACAAGTGTTTTTGGCTTCCCCATTGACTTTGCCTTCCAGAAGGTCACAAAAGATGATCACATAACTCCAGGACACTGCAACCATTATAAAAACATGCCAGTAGCCAATCATTCAAATTTTGATCACATGACCATGGGGAAGTCGTAAATGTGAAAAACAGTCATAAGTCACTTTTTTCAGTGCAGTTGTAACTTTGAACAGTCACTAAATGAATGGTTGTAAGTCAAGGACTACTTGTATAAATTACATAAAAATTCTGTAACTGAAGTTCCAGTGACATGCTGTTGTGGAAAGCTCTGCTTACAACATAAAGTACCGAAGGAGAAAGTATAAATTCCCAAATTTTCTATGCTGTAGATGCCTACATATGATCTTGTTTGATTTACATTTTGTGGTGCAGTAAATTGATCATGTTAGAGAAATATTGAACTAGCTCAAATCAGGAATAATAATACTTATTTTTATTTTACTGTTCAGATTCTAAGCCCAAACTATCTGCGGATTTTGAGGATCTCTTATCTGGTCAAGGTTTTAATGCTCACAGAGACAAAAAGGGTCCCAGAACAATAGCAGAGATGCGAAAAGAAGAAATGGCCAAAGAAATGGATCCTGAAAAATTAAAAGTAAGCATTGGGAGAATAGAATGCAAAATTTAAAATAAAGTTTCGAAGTTGTATTAGGATGCAATATTAATTATGCATGCCATTTATAAATAATGTCAATATGCTAGAACAGCTTCTCAGGATTTTATTTTTATTTTATTTATTTATATTTATTTATTTTTGTCAATTGCTTACAAGATAATAGGTATAAGTAAAACATAGTTATGAATACATGGATACATATAGGAAAAATAAAGAAATAAAGAAACAATAGGACAGGGATGGTAGGCACATTGGTGCTGTTATGCATGCCCCCTACAGACCTCTTAGGAAAGGGGTGAGGTCAATAGTAGACAGTCTAAGGTTAAAATTTTGGGGGTTTGGGGAAGAAACCACAGAGTCAGGTAGAGTATTCCAGGCATTGACCACTCTGTTGCTGAAGTCGTATTTTCTGCAATCACGTTTGGTGCGATTAACCTTGAGTTTGTATCTATTGTGTGCTCTTGTGTTGTTATGGTTGAAGCTGAAGTATTCATTGACAGGTAGGACATTGCAATGTATGATTTTATATACTATATTTAGATCGGACCGAAGGCAATGTAGTTCTATGTTTTCTAGGTCTAGAATTTCGAATCTGATGGCATAAAGTATTCTGCAACAAGTAGAGGAGTGGAGAACTCTTCTTGCGAAATATTTCTGGACTTTCTCAACTGTGTTAATATTAATATTATAGCAAATGTTTTGTATGCTCTAATTATTAGTGTAATACTACCAGAGAAAAAGCTATGTAAGATTAGATTAACAACTCTTAACACTAGGATGTTTTCAGTTGTGTTTTTTTTCCCTTATAATTTCAAAATGTTAACATCTACATGGTGACAGTGATGGTAGAAATGAGGGAATAGAGAATCCCACTGAGATATTCCTGCTTCAGGAGAGTAGTTTTGGGATTTCTATATGATGAAATAATCATGTTTTTTTTTCTAGAATTTTGAAACAGTCTAAGCAAGTTTAGTCTAATATAAAGTTCCCCAACCTTTCCGGATTGGTGGCCTGGAGGGGAAAAGAGGGATGGTTTTGTTGGAAGGGCAGGCACATGTGTGCTCATGTGGCCATGAATGCCCATGGCATGCGTGGTGATGCTCGCGCGTTGGGCTGCAAGTGCTTGGAATGAGGTTCACACAAGTGGGGTTGCGAACACCAGCATCGAGGCTCATACAACCATGGCGATGCTTGCACAAGTAGGGCATGTATGTGCACTGGCCGGACACTCATGTGGCCCAGTGGTGATTAGGCCGTAGCCCAATAGAGGGCTGTGGTCCAGAGGTTGGGGACCCCTGGCCTACCATAAGAGGACTAATTACATCACCTGTTTAGCTGTTTGATTCAGGATTATATCTCTCTACACAGATCCTTGAGTGGATTGAAGGGAAGGAGAGAAATATAAGAGCACTGTTATCTACCATGCATACAGTGCTATGGGAAGGAGAAACGAAATGGAAACCTGTGAGCATGGCCGATCTTGTAACTCCAGAACAAGTGAAAAAGGTTTATCGGAGAGCAGTACTTGTTGTTCATCCTGATAAAGTAAGAAACAATGTCTTGGGATTCATGTCTTACAAAACTAATATTCTAGCTCTATGTATTGCTGCAGGCAACTTCAGTTACACAGACAACTCTACGTTGCTGTTACCATTATTACTTTAAAATATTAAAATCTTCTACATGAGAGGTTTGTTTCTTGGGATGTACGATATATTGTCAAGTGTGATTCATCTTGATAATCTTTCATTCATACTAGATCTACACAGCTCAGAGAAAAGACTTGAAATTGATTATCTTATTAGGACAGGAGTGTGAAACACAAGGCCCACGGGCTACATCTGGCCTGCAGGATGCTTAGATCTGGCCCATGGAACCACCCTGGAAACAGCAAGGGACTGGCCCGCGGTGCCTCTGCCAGCGAAAATGGAGCTTGAAGGGCTGCACGAGCTGTTTTTGCTGGTAGAGGGCTGCAGGAGGCCGTTACAGCCAGACACGGAGCTCGGGAGCCTGTTTTCACTGACAGAGTGCTCAGGCCTCCATAGGCAGCCCCACCATGAATGACACTGAGCTGGCCATGCCCACCCTGGCTGCACCCACTTGACACCTCCCCCCCGGCGAGGTCAAACACCACCCTGATTCAGCCTTCAGTGAAATCGAGTTTGGCACCCCTATATTTGGAGGAGAAAGAGAGAGATGGTTTGGGTGTGAAATCTCAGGATAATTTGCAATATTTTTCTTTTCAATGTTAAAGTCTAAAAAGTTCCAATAGTTTTCATTTAAGCAGAACAAAAATAGATTTCTTGCCTTTTAATCTTCACAATGTTTTTTTTATTAAAAAAGTGTGATTTGAAAAACTAATAGTCCCAGATTAGAAATAAATACATAAATCCCTCCACAGATTAAGGATTAAGGATTAAGGATTGATTTTGTGATAAGCAACATTTTTTTTGCCAATTAAGGTTACATTGATTGGCAATCATTAGCTAGCTAAGAAGAGAGTTCTATATTGCAAGTATTTCTTTAGAATAAATGAACATGTACAACTTATATCAACCCCACTATAAACGGATCCGTGGAGCATTTATTTTATTGTCATTTCTTTGTTGCTTTGATTACTAAGACTTTCCTGAAATAATCAAACTTGATGCAGGGTTACACAAATGAATAACATACCTTCGTGGTTTGATTTGTTTCAAAAACAAGACCTAACCTAACTATCTGTTCATTTGTCATGGAATAAATCTATGGGCTTATCTGCACTGCCTGGTTTTCCAATTCTTTTTGGAGGACAGAAATAGACAAGGTCACCCTCACTGAATCCTCACCCATTTCCCCAGTGACCTTGGGGCTCTGCTTCTGAAATAAACTTTTCCTATTGCTTTGTCTGGAGGGGGTCCTGTCAGTTTGAATGCTTTAGTTGGCTTCAGGTTGTCTTCATACTTCATGGGGCACTTTTTGAAGGAAGGAAGGGCTTCAGCTGAGACAATGCTTAGTATTCACCCTTAAATCATTTAAACCTTTCTGCTACTCTAACTGAAGCAATACCATAATCAGTATTACTCTTGCCTTAAAAGTCAAATTTTACTGGTTCATGCCCCAGCAGAACATTTTAAAAAATTATTCTCTCTCTCTCCAACACACACACACACACACACCTCTGACTTCTTTGGCTTCATTATATTTTTTTATAAAATGCAGTTTTACCATTTCACCCATCACCTAAAAACCTTTTCACCTGAGGTGACAGGTACAAAGCTAAGCCCTAGACTTAGTGTATGTTTTTGTTTTTAATTAAAAGCCCATGGAGAAAAATGGATGTCAGCGTTCCAAGTAATGCACCCATAGAAACTAGAAATCTGAGGCAGGCAAATTCCTCAAAGAACAATTTATTGGATACATCATATTGGCACAGCTGGTGAAAGCCGACTCTGAAAGTTCCCACAACTTTCACCTAATTAAAAAGTAAAAGTCCCCCTTCTTTCCCTAAGACACTGATCACACTGTCCAATCACGGTGCTGGCTGGTTGCTTGGTTACTTCACTCCTCCTCTGGCCAGCCACCTGTTACGATATCCTTGGTTCCCACAGGAAAACTTCTTTGTTTTTGCTACAAAACCCCATCTAGCTATTTCCCCCCTCCCTTTCCCTTCTTCTGCTTTGTGGCAATCCTGAAGTCTCCAAGATGGCCTCAGCCAGGTTCACTTCAGGTTTGACAATGGATTTGCCAAAGCAACCCCAAATTTCTGTTGGATATTTCTGTGTGCATGTACTTTTCAAATAGATCTTTGTACTTATTGAAACCTATTTTTTTTGCTTTTCTTCCAGGCTACCGGACAGCCATATGAACAATATGCAAAGATGATTTTTATGGAGCTCAATGATGCTTGGTCAGAATTTGAAAACCAGGGTCAGAAGCCTTTGTATTAGCATTCCTCCTCAGACGTTGCTGTAGATCTGTGCTAGTGCTTGTATCGTTCCTTGCCACATGATTTTCACAGCTGAACTGATGTCTGGCTGGAGATGTAAAAGTATTAATACTAGCCCAATTTAAAAAAAAAAACTCTTCATGGAAAAGGAACAGAAAAGAAGGCTGATCCTTATGAATTACAGATGCAAAAAGAAAGGAGTTTTTGGGACTGATTTATAATGTTCTTTCAGATTTAAATAGGCATTCTAGTAAACTAGGATTGTTTGCCTTGGAACAAGTGAAATGAAATTGTTCCTTTGCCTTTAGCAAAAGGGACTCTGTACCATTTTAGATGTGGCTTGATTTTGAAGTTTGTATCCAGAACTAACACAAAGTACGGTACATCTTCATTCATATGCAGTTATTTAAAACACTCTCTTTCTTATCCCAATTGGCCCTTAAACTGTTTGTTTTATTATATTTTGAATATGTCAGATAAATAATTGGATTATATTGCTGGTAACTTATTGCAGCCTTAAGCATAGCATTGCATTTCAAGTCTGAGATTTAAGCAGACATTCTTCACCATAGTTGAATTGGGAGTTGCATCTTTAAATAATCTATTATGTTAAATCAGAAACCTCTTGGAGACGGTATCAGTAGCACGCTGTGTTGACTGTTCTGCACTAATAGAAAACTGAGGGTGTGATTATATCGCAAGCTTTTAAAATTCCCCATTGAGATATATTATCTTCTTACATACAGATGAATCTTTGACTTATTCTTTAATTATGTTCTTCCAAAATTTTAATCGAGTTCAATTAAACATACGCTTTCCAGATAATTTTTAAATACAACCTGAGTGCAACAAAGGCTCACCTTCTAAGCCTCTGGAAATAATTTATTTTATAACTTATTCAAATGACGGAATCTTACCTACAATAGATATATTGGCTCAAAAGCAATAAAATACAAACACCTGTATGGTACCTATGAAGATAAAAGTGATTTTTTTTTCCACCTTCTTACAAAACTCATTTTACATAGTACTCTTTCCACAGAGAAACACGTAATGTCGATTTTATTTAGGGGCATTACCTTAATGGGATCCAGTCATAGGCAATTATGCATTATTTTTCCTCCTAAACAACTGTCATTAAGTCAGTTTAAGTCAGGAACAACCGTGTAGACCTGGACTGAGTATTATTGATCCTAAAGAGACTTTTGAAAATTGTATTTCTCATTTATTGAATGTAGGTAGCACTGCAGTCCTGTCACACACTAGAATCTATTATATAGCCTATCTCCTGTTATATAGCCTACCTCCTATATAGCTGTTCAGAGATAGGTCTAAAAACACTGGGTGGAGGAAAATGTCTGAATTTCACTAGGAGGCTAGTGGATGGACATAAGTTTTCACTCTTTCTTAAAGGGGAATTTCAAGGTAATGTGAAAATCTTTGTCTATTTAGTGTTTTTAAGACAATCTGTTTGTCTGTTCTGATTTTCTAGTGAGAAACCCTTTTCTGCAGATACAGCATGTCAACCAGCCTACATTTATTTTTATATTACATGCCATCTTTTTGTTGTATCGATCCATTATTTATTGCCATTTACTGCCAATGTGAATCAAAAACATCAAGTTCTCCTTTTTTATATATAAATATATACAAGACATTAAGATGTTTGAAAAGTATAACAAACTGGATGTTATTTATTAACATATTATGAAATGTTTTGATCAAGTATGTGCTTGTCTATTAAAAACATTTTGGAATGTGAATTATGTTCCTGTGAATGGTTTTACTCCTTTATTTCCACCTGTAGATGCTTATGATGCTGTATATAGATTTAATTAAGATAGCAAACATTTTTTGAGATTATACCAATTATTAGCTTAGTGTATCAAATTTATTATTTTTATAAGTCCAGCTAACTCAAGTTTATGTGAAACACAAAGCAATCCTTAAGTTTCATCTTCAGCACCATGAAAAATTAATACAGCTTAAACACCTCCTCTAACTGCTGTGTTTTATGCATGGAGATGAGACCTGCTATGCGATCAAAATGATTGAAACCAGACAAGGTTTCCTCTTCTGTCTTTTTGATGCTTTCAGGAAATTACCCTTTTATTCAGGTGTACCAAGAGGTTTTTTTTTCTTTTTGTAAATCTGCAGTAAGCCCATTGAACTGTGAATAGTCTAAAAGATCTGTATATATTAAAAACTTCAAAGAACTCAGTCTATTTGATTTGTATTTATTCTTTGTGGAATAAAAGTTTGAAGATGTGGAAGGATAACAAGATGTACACGTACACCAAATATGATGACATGGAAATGGTACATTTGAATCAATTTTCTTTTAAATAAGCAAAAAAACGTCTGTGGTTTGTACAGTTTTCTGAATTTATATTCTGGGGAACCTCCAAATGACAGTTCCTTGTTCAATTATTACTTCATGGAATTTTAAAATATGTAAAAATGATGCTGTCTTCTATCTACAGCTTTCTTGTGCTTCAACACTTTTTTTAAAAAAAATCTCTTCCTTATGAAAGAATACCTACTATTGCCTTTGGATTGCTTGCAGTTCTGCCAATATCCTCTGGGTATGAATGGTCAGAGAAGCAATAGACTAAATCGATATAAATGAAGTATCAATTCTTCTTCACAGCAATCTAACTCTTGAATATTGTGCTGTGTGCAGAAAAGGGGGAAGTGAATGGACTTTTTGTTGCCACTTTATTTTGTTAGGAGACAAGTTGTGCTGATGAAGTGCTTTTCTTATGTAGTTGTGGACATTTAAGGCAGCGAAACATTCACAAATGTATACAATATTCATATTACATCGCTAGTAAAAAAATAAATAAATCCCAGGGTGAAATAGCCATAATGCATGGATGGTACTAAGAAATAGACCAAAAAGTATAAAATGGGCATTTATAATTCAGTGGTTTATTCTCTACACTACAGCACCCAATGGTAAGTGGAAGCTTTATAGGGACAAATCTAAACTTGAAATAAGGAGGAATTTCCTGACTCTCAGGCATTAATAAATTGAACAATTAAAGTGTCTCTTTGAAGTACAGGGTCAGCGGTGGACATTTTAAAGAGATGATCGAACAACTATTTGTCCCACACTGGGTAGGGGGTTGGACGAGTAGACCTCCAAAGTCTGTTTCAACTGTATAAGTCTCTGTTTACTGAGACTCATCTGTAACTTAGTTTAACACTTCAAACTGATGGCACTTCCAAATGAAGGTCTTCACGCTGCTCCAGAAGTAATCATTTTAATGATTTTCTTTCTCTACCCTATCATCCTCTTCATCTGGGAAAAGAATAAACCTCCTCATGGTTTTCTAAGCATTTTAATCATAAGTTAAATTGTTTTTGAGAAATCAAAAGAAAAAAAACCTGGAATTTCATTTCCTGTGCCATTACAGATTTTTCGGTAATATGTAATATGTTCTAGATCTAGAATATGTTCTAAAAATGCCAAATCATTTCTAAATATCAGCATGCCCACGGGAGAACATAAGATCCGAAGTATTCTGTTGTACGTTAATAAACCCATGAGTGGTTTTTTTTTCCAGACAAGCTTCCCTACCCCTCAGCAAATTATCCCTCCAAACCAATGCTTCTTAAAATTAAAACTGGATGTAAATTTATTTTCCTCGAAAACTCTTGAGATGACAGTAAAGCAAAAATCAGTTCATTTAAGTCCCAAAGGTGCTTTTTCAGAAGATAATTGGACTTTCTGTTTTTTCTTCAGCTCTGGCTAGATAATGGGGAATGAAACCTCCATTCCCCACCATCCAACCAGTGCTGAAGAAGCCTTTTGGATGAGAAGTGAAACATATTGTTGGAAGTCAAAACCCGCCCCTCTCCTAGGAAAATGAAATAGTTTAGGATATACTAAAAAGGCAGAATATTTCCCCTAAAAAGAAAAGTAGAAACTCCAAGAGGCAGAAACTCACCTTTGCTAATGGGCCATTACTCTGGCCTGGGCCAGTCTATTTTACATAACAAAGATCTACTCCAGGTAGAGCTATAATAGGAATTGCCCAAAAGCTCTTTCATTACATCAACCAAGCCTGGGACTCAGGACAGCCTACAGAGTTGCCCCTGCATGGCCCCAACCAATCAGAATACAAGCTCAAATTCAAATCCCAACAGAGGGCTTAAAACCAAGGGTCTCTAAGCATCTTGCCCCTTCTTTTCCTTCACCCAACATCTTGAAGCATGTGATCATCCTTTTCACTTTGGAGCTTCACGCCATGTGGTCCTGTCCACCATGAAACCATCTTTCCAAACATCCTCCATGTTTCCAGTGTCTTTTTCCCTACTTGGAACTGAACCCAGAAGGATATTTCTTCCAACAATCTTCAAAGAAAAACCAGGCCAGTTGCTGCTTGAAAAAGCACCTCAGTCATCCAGGTCACAACCATGACTTTGTCCCCCTGCTCAAGCAGCCTTTATACTATTCCAGACTTTACTCTTGTCCTCTAAGCAGATGCTAGATCCAAGATGATGGCTGTTAACAGAGCAACCTGCACGGCACAACACTTGGTTCTATACTTTTCATGTATTATTACATGGTTTCATGATTGTTAAGTGTTTGCTACACAAAGCTTTTTCCCCTTTGAGTTCCACAGATCAAAGGTACCAATGAGAAAGTTTACCAAAGGCATAACTAAGCCACTACAGTAATACCTACACACAAGAATGATAAAATGACCAAAAAAATAAAATAAATCGTATTTCCTTAGGTAACACAAGCTGTCATGGAGCGAGCGCGAGAGAAACAAATTATATAAGTGGAATTTATTTCTACTTTCTCGAGAAAGAACTTCCTACTGAGATAATTCCTGACTCAAAAACTATGGGGAGGAGGGGAAAAAACCACGGTGAGATTTACTCGCAAGCTGGTGCTGTTCGAATACAAAGCAGCCTAGCGGTATTCCTTTCGTGAAAGATCTCACTTGATCGCTCCAGACCCCCGAAGCGGTGGCGCCCCGTCATCTCGGGATGGGTATTTGGGTATTTTGTTTGTTTGTTTGTTTCTGTGAAGCAACTTCTCCCCGTTTCTCCCTTTTTTCCACTCCTTTCTCTCTCTCTCTCTCTCTCTGTCTCCTTGTGGGAAGGGGCAGGCGTTCGCAGAGGACCACGTGAAGAGAAAAGGCGGAAGAAGTTTCCTTACACTCCGCCTCCTCTGCCTCGAAGTCCGGAAAGCGATCGTGAGAATCGCCCCTTCAAGGAAGGAGGCATGGCGGGGATCAAAGGTACGAGGTGTTTCCCCCCCACCTTCTCTGTGAGGGATTACCTTGAGGAGGTCGTAGGTTTCC